ATTCTAACAATGGAACTGACTATCCCTGGGATGGGTTGCTAGGAAAGAATGGGAGCTTCACTAGAAATATTTTCAGCGCAGAAAGATACTTCATCATGATTTGGGAGGTATTTTATGGATGTATGTCTATCCCTCCTTATATTCCACTCACCCTTCCCCACACACACAAAAAAAGGCATTTCATATCAACTACAAAAACCCAAAAGGCTTATAAAACAAGATGAATAAAGTAGGATTGAACATGGGAGAACAGATTAATTTTTATAGGAAAACACGGAGCAGCAGAATTCAGACCTGCCACTTACCTTTCTGTCCTTGGGCAAGTGATGTCATGCTCTGCCCATCACTTTCCTTGTGCATAAAATGAAATTGACAATAGTTCTTCCTTCATTAAGTGGATATGAGGTTTAAATAAAATGTACCTGTACCATTCTTAGAACAGGGTCTAGCATTTAGCTTCAGCTTGATGACAGGTGCCCATGTTTTTTAAATGTCTTGAGCCATTTTTGTTGCAAGTGACAGAAACACGGCTAACTCTAAATCAAGTAGAGAAAAGGATTTTTTTTTTTTTTTTACTTTGTTACAGAGAAAACCACAGGCCCAAAATGGTGTTACTTGGGTCAGGCTAAGTTATCGAACCAAGGGTTAGTACCTAACCTAAATGCAGTTTCAACCTCCCCCAGAAATGTAAACCTTAATTTACCAATCGGAAATTTTTTGATAAGCACCAATAAAGTAACCTGTCACATGGGCTTCTCCTTGGACAGAAGATAAGGTAATTCACCTAATATCCCCTACTTTTCCATAAGGGAAACTGACTTTGCCTAGAACAATCCTTTTCTTTTGCTTATAACTTTCTCGCCCGAACCCCCTTCCTATAAAAACCTTCCAATTTGTACAACTCCTCCTTGTACAACTGCCCCTCTCTGTGTTAGGAGGGATGCTATCCAATTCATGTATCTTTTTAAGGTTTTATTTGAGAGCGCGAGAGCGCACGAGTGAACAAGGGATTGGGGAGGGCAGAGTGAGAGGGAAAAGCAGGCTCCGCGCTGAGCAGGGAGCCCATCGTTAGACTTGATCCCAGGATCCCGGGATCGTGACCTGGGCTGAAGGCAGATGCTTAACCAACTGAGCCACCCAGGCATCCCCAAGAGTCATTAATAAAGCCAATTAAATCTTCACATTTATTTGGATGAATTTTGTTTTTTATAACTCAGACACAAGAAAATCTGAAATCTACACCGCCATCTTGCAATCATGTAACCTTCCAAGCGGTAGCAAAAAAGGATGCTAGCAACCCAAATCCTCTTTTTTTTTTTTTAAGATTTTATTTATTTATTTGACGGAGAGAGATCACACGTAGGGAGAGAGGCAGGCAGAGAGAAAGGGGGAAGCACACTCCCTGCTGAGCAGAAAGCCCGATGTGGGGCTCAATGCCAGGACCCTGAGACCATGACCTGAGCTGAAGGCAGAGGCTTAACCTCCTGAGCCCCCCAAATCCTCTTGATTGAAGCCTCAAAGGAAGGAGAGGGTCTTGCCCCCAACTCCTCTTTATTGGAACTTATAAGACACTCTGATTGGCCCATTTAAGTCACATGCCTACCCATGAACCAATCATTGTGCCCAGAGGGATAGAATGCTGATTGGATGGCCCAGCGCACAGACCCACCCCTGGGTGATTTGGTTCCTCCAAAGCTCACCAGGATCTTTGACCCTGGAGCCCCACCTTGCTGGACCCTGTCTCCTAGCAACAGATCTGTGTCTGCCCATTTTAGCATCTCTATTGCCCCAGGTTACAATCTGGAGGTTGGAAAGATAGTTAATAGGCTCTTCCCAATGGAGGGTAATTATACTTTTATAGACACGGAGTATTCAGTGTTAACGGGGGGGGGGGGATCAAGTCCCCCCTGGTTCTCAGATAATCCCAGTCTTATCTCCCTCCCACCGCATTACTAATTTCCTCTTCTAGCTTGGAGCAGAGAACTCAGCTGTGGCAATCTCAACAAATCAAGCAGATGCTGGTCTCTGCTGCAAGAAGTAAACAGAGGCAGCTTGTGTCTGTCTAGGGAGACCTTGATGAAAGTGCCCATTTCAACATCCTGATATTTTTCTCCAAAGCCCCTCAAACCACAGTCTCAAGAAACACATGGTTAGAGTCCCAAGATAAAACAGGCAAGATTTTTTAAATTTATTTATTTGGGAGTGCCCAGGTGGCTCAGTGGGTTAAAGCCTCTGCCTTCAGCTCAAATCATGATCTCAGGGTCCTGAGATTGAGCCCCACATCAGGCTCTCTGCTCGGCAGGACCCTGCTTCCCCCTCTCTCTCTGCCTGCCTCTATGCCTAGTTGTGATCAAATAAAATTTGTGTGTCAAATAAATAAAATCTTTAAAAAAAATCTTAAAAAAAAAAGATTTTATTTATTTGAAAGAGAGAGAGAGAGAAGGGGGAGGAGCAGAGGGAGAGGGACACGCAGACTCTGATGCAGCGCTCAATCTCAGGACCCTGAGATCATGACCTGAGCTGAAACTAAGAGTCAGGCGCTTAACGTTAACTGACTGAGCCACCCAGGCACCCCCAAGTTGGCAAGATTTTAATCAGGGAAAAAAAAAAAGATTTTAATCAGCTTATTTTTCTTCCACATAACAATGATCGCTTGTTTCTTGAGGAAGGCTCTTCTCAGGGCAGATTGTATGCACTGTGTAAATCTAGGCAGTCCCATTCACTTTGTAGTGAATGTATGTGTCTGTGGTGGCTCTGCCCCTCTACCTCACCTTTGCTCTGCCAATTCCGGTTTTAGGTTACTTCCCTCAATATCCTTCCCTTTCTAGGCACTAATTCTAAATTAGTGAAGAGTGTTATCGACTCAAGGGACAGAAACCCACTAAAGCCAGCCTAATGCCCAGGAAATTTGTTGGCTCGTGGATTGGAAAGAATGAGGGCTCCTGGCCTCAGGTACGGCTGGATCCAGGAGCTCAGCCAATACAGACAGAACTTTCTCTTCAACTCTCACCTGTACATCCTGGCGTAGACTGGCTTCAGTCTGCAGACTGTTCTTCTTGACAACTGGGGAAGGGGACTGCTGGTAGGATGAGGGCCTAAATACAGCTTATGATCCCAGAGGAAGAATGAGATGTCCTGTCCTCCAAACTAAATATTGTGACCAGGAGATGGGGTTCTCTGATTGGTACGTTTAGACTGAGTGATACTGGGGGGCTGTGTTAGATTGGCGTAGTGGAGAAGCATCCACAAATGGAAAGCAAGGTGCTGATAGAGATACTCAGGGGACAGGGGCACCTAGGTGGCTCATTCGGTTAAACTTCTGACTCTTGATTTCAGCTCAGGTTATGATCTCAGGGTCATGAGATGGAGCCCAGCATCAAGCCCTGTGTAGGGCTCTGCACTCAGTGGGGAGTCTACCTGAGAGTCTCTCTCTCTCCCTCTGTCCCCACCCCACCCCACTCCACTCCTGTCTCTAAAATAATAAATAATCTTTTTTTTTTTTTTAAAGATACTTAGCAGACGGAAACAACAGCTGTCATTACAAGCATTATTTGTTATGGGACCTTCCAGGAGGTGGCAGTTTGAGGAACTAGTGACATAATCCAATTTCAGTCTCCCATCTCTCAGATCTGCTGTGGGCTCTTCCAAAGCAAGGTGGAAAGCCAGTTTCAGACCTTGTGTTCAGCACAGGTCTAGAAGGTTCAGGAAAGAAGAGAGAAGACTCTTGGAAGCCGGATTTGCTTGAGGCTGTGTTCAAGGGTAGGTGGTGTCAAAATTGACCGAAGACCCTTGGAAATACAGCTGTGGCCAAAAAAGTTTTTTCAGCTTGCTAAAAGGGAAGTTCATATACCAGGAACCATGGGTGCCTCCACAGGAGGGTGTTGGGGGACAGGAGGGCACCTTATAGGATTCACGCATGTGGAGCAGGGTGTGGGGAGTTTTAAGGAGAGTTAAAGAGAGGAGAAGCAATTCTAGGTTGGTGCTGTCAGGAAGCTGGGAGCAGATTGGTAACTGGGTATTTGGATGTTTTTTATCTCGGAAGTGGGAGGATGGAAGTGGAGCTGTCATTGGTAAAAAGCAACAGTCATCGCGTTAGTCCGGGACAGGAGGGTGTGTATTCGTTTTTGTGGTCGCAGAGTGTCCTTGTCTCTGGCCTGGTTCAGACATGGCCACAGAGCGGCCTTGTGTGATCATTGTTTATATTCTGTGACTGTTGTTTATGCTCAGTGAAGACCATCACGGCCCAGCTGCCAGCTGCCAGGGCTGGCTTTCACTCCCTCTTTTCGGGGATCTCTGTCTCCAGGTAAAGTCTGCCCAGAGTCCTTCCCCGCTGTGGCCTAGGCTTCTCCAGAGATCATCACACCCGTGGGCATCAGACACAGGGAGTCCACCAGTGACAGCAGTGAGTGACCTATCAGCCAGGTAGGAGGAGGAAAACACTCAGGGACAGGGCTCCCAAGCCTTTTCCTTGGGGAGTCTTACAGGGAGTCGCTGGACTGAGCAAAGATGAACAACTTTGTCAATTGCAGGCCTTTTCAGAGCCTTGGCTTCATTTATGTGCCCCGCCAGTCTGCCAGAGAATAGAGGTTTGGTGCTTTCTGAACAAAGGTAGAGTCAGAGACATGGGCACGAGGCAGAGACAGAGACAGAGACAGAGACAGAGACAGAGGAGGCCAGAAACAGAGAGACAGAGAGGCAGAGGCAGGAAAAGTGACAGGAACAGAGGCAGAGACATTGACACAGGGAGAGCCGCAGAAATAGAGGGACAGAGAGACAGAGAGGAACAGAGCTAGGCGCCGAGAGGGGAGCAGAGATGCAGAGAGAGACAGGGGCAGGGAGAGACCACGGCAGAGGCCGAGGCGGGCGGGGGCCCGACGGGGACGAGGGAGGCGGAGGAGGGCCAGACCGGGCTGAGCCGGGCGGAGGGCAGCGCGGGAGGGCGCGGCGCAGACAAAGGCGCGGCCAGGGCGGCCGGGCCGGGACAAAGGCTGGCCCGGGGGGCGGGGGCAGCGATGGCGACGGCCGCGGCGGGCGCGGGCGAACTACAAGTCCCAGCAGCTCCCGCTGCGGCCCTCGGCCGGCCCCTCTCGCTCCCCGGGAGCGCCTGGCGGGGCCGCTGGGCCGAGGGGGCCGCCGGCGGGACTGGCGGGCGGGGGGCTTCCTGCGGGCCCCGGGGGCGCGGCGGGCCGGGCAGGGGCGAGGGGCGCCGGGTGAGTGTCCCCGCGAGCGGGCCGGGCGGGCGGGGGCCGGGGCCGGGGCCGGGGCGGGGGCGGGCGCGGGGCGCGGCCCGGGGCGACCTCTGTCCGCCTCCCCACCTTCCCGGCCCGCGCGCCGCCCGCCTGGCCCGGGAGAGCGGGGTCGCGGGCGTGTGGGGAGGGGGTCCCTTGCGGCCCTCGGGCCTAGCGCGCCCTTTCCGCTGCCGTGGCCCCGGGGGAGGGCCCAGCCTGAGCTGGGCGCCTGAAATCGGGAGGTATGGGGGGGCACCCCTCAGCTGTGGGGTCGGGAGCTCAGGACGCCCCCTCCCTGGAGGCGATCCAGACCCTCTCCATCCGAAGAACCCTGGAGGACCCCTAAGTATTGTTCTCTCCACCCTCCAGCCTCCTAAGGTTGGGAGTTCAGGAGGCCATTCCTCAGGAGGGCGATTGGGGTTCCCTGTGATCCCCCAGGGAGCCTCGTTATTGTTCCCCTCCCACTCCAGTTTTGGGGTCCAGAGTTCTGGAAGCCCCTTCCCAGGAGGTGATCCAGAGACCCACCTGGCTCCCCCTCACCCCCCCCTCCAGGAACTCAGTTCTCCTCCCCATTCCAGCGAAAAGATGGGAATTTGCAAGGCCCCTTCCTCCGGAGGCGATCTAAAGGTCCCCCCTGTCCCCCAGAAACCCAGGCATTGTTTTCCCCCACCCTCCAAATGTGGCGTCTGGGTTGAGGAGGTGATAGAAGAACACCCTCTTCATTTGCTTAGCCACTTCCAGCTGCGGGGTTGTGGTTCTCCGTGTCACTCTCCCCAGGAGAGCCAGAGGCCCCCCATCCCTCCCTCCGGGAACAGATGTGTTTGTTTGCTCCCCAGCCCGCAGCCATGGGGTGGGTAACTCAAGACATCACCTCCCCATCGGTAGTCCAGAGCTCCCTCTGCTTCCCAGAAGGGTTCCCAGTTACTGTTCCTCTATCCTGCTTCCAATCTCCAGGTATGGGGCTGGAATTCAGGATCTTTTCTCCAGGAGGGAACCAAAAAAGTGTCCGGACACCCATCCCCATACCTCAGCCTTGGGATCAGTTAGTTATTCAGGAATCTCCCTTTCCTAGGAGATGACCCAGGATCCCCCCCAGTAACCCAAGAGGGGCCCTAAGTCTTATTTTTGCCCCCTCCCACCCCCAGCTAGGGGGAATTCAGGATCTGCTTTCCAACTGGTGAAACAGGTATAACACCTGTCCCTACTACCCTGGCTATGGGGTCCATGGGTCTCCCTGTGCCCCAGTGGGTCCCGCCTTAACCTCCTCCTCTAGCTTTAGGAAGTGGCATTTGGGTACACAAGTGTTTTGACAGTCACTCCCACCCCTGAACTGTGAGGTGTGGCATTCGAGTCCCACGCCAGAGGTGCCCCTGTCCTCCCCCACTGATGCAAGGGGAGTACCAGCTGTCATTTGCCCCCCGCTCATACCCCAGATATAAGCTTCAGGGCTCAGGAGGCGTCCTCTCCATGAGGCAAGCCAGAGGTTGCCCTTACTACTAGGGTACCCCCAAATATGTCACCCCCAACTCTGGGACTGGAATTCGAACTATGTACTTAGGAGCAAGCACAGGAACCCAGCCCCTTGCCCTCTTCCCCAGTCAAGCGGGTAGGAACCCTGGGCTCTCTCTCCTCCACAGGACCCAAGCTTCCCACGGGAGGAGGAGCCCAACATGGAGAGAGGGGCAGAGCCCTGGAGCTGGGCACTGGACACCTCTAGTGCCGGGGCCCATGACTTCCATCCAGGTGTGGTGCTGAGACGTGAAGGTTGCCCCCACCCTACCCCCCCTCCATGTCCCAGCAGGGTCCCTCTTCTCCCTGCCCTGACTGGAGCGCATCACAGGTCTCCCTGCAATCTGAGACAAGAGAAGGATCCGTGTGTGTATTGAGGAGTGGGTCTGGGGCCATAGCCCCTCTCACCTCCCTGCCCAGACTCCAAAAGCGATCCCCTGGCCTCCAGTACCTACCTCCACCCCGCTCTGTCCTCACCCTGCAGATCCTGCCCCGGAAGCAACCAGCACTTCCACACCAGGGATGCGGCGCTCAGTCCTGGTCAGGAACCCGGGCCACAGAGGCCCAAGGCCCGCTTATGAAGAGCTTGACTCCGACTCAGAGGACCTGGACCCCAACCCCGAAGAGCTGGATGCAGTCTGCGAAGACCCAGAGCCTGACCCAGAAGACCTCAACACTGTCTCCAAAGATGCGGACCCCAGCTACGAAGCTCTGGGGCCCGTCTCTGAGGACCTGGACCCCGACGCCCAAGCTCTGAGCTCCATCTCAGCCGCCCGGGACTCGGATCCCCAAGATCTCCACCCCATGGCTTCAAGTTTCGACCTCGATCCAGATGTCATCGGCCCTGTCCCCCTGGTTCTTGACCCTAACAGCGACACCCTCAGCCCCACCGAATCCCCAGACGTGGACCCCCTTGCATCCAGCCTCACTGCCACTCCCGAGGTCCTGGCCCCCAGCCCCGCGGTGCTCCCTGCACCTGCCAGCCCTCCCCGGCCCTTCTCCTGCCCCGACTGCGGGCGAGCCTTCCGCCGCAGCTCGGGGCTGAGCCAGCACCGCCGTACCCACAGCGGCGAGAAGCCCTACCGCTGCCCCGACTGCGGCAAGTCGTTCAGCCACGGCGCCACGCTGGCGCAGCACCGCGGCATCCACACAGGCGCGCGGCCCTACCAGTGCGCCGCCTGCGGCAAGGCCTTCGGCTGGCGCTCGACGCTGCTGAAGCACCGCAGCAGCCACAGTGGCGAGAAGCCGCACCACTGCCCGGTGTGCGGCAAGGCGTTCGGGCACGGCTCGCTGCTGGCGCAGCACCTGCGCACGCACGGCGGGCCGCGGCCGCACAAGTGCCCCGTGTGCGCCAAGGGCTTCGGGCAGGGCTCGGCGCTGCTGAAGCACCTGCGCACGCACACCGGCGAGCGGCCCTACCCGTGCCCGCAGTGCGGCAAGGCCTTCGGCCAGAGTTCGGCGCTGCTGCAGCACCAGCGCACGCACACGGCCGAGCGTCCTTACCGCTGTCCCCACTGCGGGAAGGCCTTCGGCCAGAGCTCCAACCTGCAGCACCACCTGCGCATCCACACGGGCGAGCGGCCCTATGCCTGTCCCCACTGTTCCAAGGCCTTCGGCCAGAGCTCCGCGCTGCTGCAGCACCTGCACGTGCACTCCGGGGAGCGCCCTTACCGCTGCCAGCTCTGCGGCAAGGCCTTTGGCCAAGCGTCCAGCCTCACCAAGCACAAGCGGGTGCACGAGGGCGCCGCCGCCGCAGCCGCGGCAGCTGCTGCGGCTGCCGCCGCCGCGGGCCTTGGCCTCAGTCCTGCCTCCATGTTGAGGCCAGGGCAGGTCTCCCTCCTGGGTCCTGATGCTGTCTCTGTTCTTGGCTCCGGCCTGGGCCTCAGCCCTGGCCCCAGCTCCGGCCTGGGCTCTGAACCTAGCTCCGTGCTGGGCTCCCTTCCTGATCCTGGCCCCAAAGCTCTCTCCCGCTCGGAATCTACCCCCACCCCTGATTCTGTCAAATCTTCTGACCCTAAGCCTGGTCCCAACGCCAATCCTGACCTCGTGGCCAGCCCTGAGCACGGATCTGGTCCCAGCTCTGACCAGGATCCCGCCCCCAGCCCCAAGCCCAACCCTGAATCTCACCCTGACCCCTGCTCTCCCACCCATGACACTGTCAGTCCGGCCCTCCCTACTGGCGAGAGTCCCCAGTGGGTGCAGGAGCAAGGGGCTCTGCTGGGGCCGGATGGCTGAAGTGGACGCCGACACTCACGGGGGCCTGGGGAAGTTGTGTGTCATGTAATTTAGTAAAATCCTCCCACTGCCTCCCGGCTCTGTGTTGTGTGGCTTGCCTCTTTCTCTTTTTCCTCCCTAATGCATGGCCCCTTCCTCAGAAGATGGGAGGGTGTGGCCTATGCCAGCCATAGCTGGAACCCCAATGTCCCTGCTCCCCGCTAATCCTCCAGGCTTCCCAGTTCCCCCACAAGTTCTCACACTTGGTCCCTCCCTGCACTTACACCTCTGCTTCCCCAGACCTGGCCACCCTAGTCATGGACAGACTTCTGCTGAAGGTGGTTTGAGCAGGATCCTTTTCCTTTGGCTTTTCTATGAGTGGTGGAATTTCTGGTATTTTCACAGTCTAGTGAGCTGATAATGGAGGCTGATATGAGACCCTGAAGGCACCCTACACGATCTGTTCACATAACCTGCCCTTATCCTTCACAGCCCAGGTTATGGGCACAGCACGGGACAGAAGAGGTTGCCTGTCTATGTGTTGAATGTAAATCTGCCAATTGGTGGGGTCTCAGCCGGGAACAAGACAAGCATGGCCTTCACAGAACTCACAGATGCCAAATTCAGGAACATTTAAGAAGTAGTTATGGGGTGTAGTTCACTTTTTTTTTTTCCTTTTTAAGATTTAAAAAATTTTTTCATGTAAGAGAGAGGGAGAGGCAGAAGCAGGGGAGGGAGAAGCAGGCTTCCTGCAGAGCAGGGAGCCTCGTGCAGGACTCTATCCCAGGACCCTGGGATCATGACCTGAGGCCAAGGCACACGCTTAACCGACTGAGTCACCCAGCCACCCCGGTAGAGTTCATTCTAAGAAAAGCATAACAAGACATTTCCCCCCAACACATCAGACAGGTAATGGTGAGGAGATAGCAAGGTTTCGGGGAGACACATCTCACGCAACAGTGTGAATGCTCAGTCACCATGCTCATGGTCCACAAAAGGATCAAGACCTCTGATTTGGGGGAATGGGGCTGCTTTCCCGAGGAAGGAATCCATAATCCCAATAACCACTACTTTAATCATCAGTACTGTTTGTCCAGCCTTGTGCAGCACTCTTGCATTTCATGCTTTTGAGTTTTCTCATTTAATTCAACAGCTCCAAGAGGCAGGTAACTATGACCAAGTATCCCCCTTTTGCAAATGAGTAAACAGGCACGTGGAGTTTAAGAACTTCTTTGGAAGATGTAGAAGTGGCAGTTGGCCAGGCCTAGATTTCATCTAAACTGTCTGTTCGCCAGAGTTTGCGTTCTTAACCAGTATCCTTCAGAGCAAGAGTGCAAAGGCCCTGGGGCCATTGAGTTAGAAGCTTGGGGAGATGGGGGCTGGAACAGAGGGACCTGGTAGACTGAGGTCAGAATTCCCTTGTCATCCCAGAACAATGGGAAGACATCAGCAGGTTGTGGCAGAGGACTGATTACTCAATGGAAAATGCTTCTGGCTACTGCCTGGAGAGTATAAGGGGAGAGAGTCAGGAGTGGGAGCCTCAGGTCAGGGAGGAGGTTGCTGCACTGGTGCGGGCCAGGAATGCTGGGGGACTCTGGGCTGAGGCCTATAGGAGTGGGTATAAGTGGTCCTATTTGGGACATACTTAGGAAATGAAATAGGATTTGCTGACGGTTCAGATGAGAGGAGCAGTAGCGGAAAGAGAGAAACCACCGGGTTTCTGGGAGGATGGAGAGGCAGCCATGAGACAGGACATATGGTCATCACCGGACTCTGCGGAGGATAAGGGGTGAAGCACTGAATATGGAACTCAAGAATCTGGCACAGGACGCGGTCCTAGGGCACTCTCACAGCCAGCCCATCCCCCAACACATTGAGCGCCCGTCGGCGTTAGGACCTCAAGGCCACCCTTCGCCCGCAAGAAGCCAGTTGAGGCACGCACGCATGCGTACGGCGGCAGCAGGGGCTGTCGTGGCGCAGGGGGCGGGATAGGATCCGGTCACGTGCAATGGGGGCGGGGAAGAAAGAGCGCCTGGTCACGTGATCGGGGCGGGCGTCAGCTGACCCGAGAGGGTTTGAAGCTGCACCGGGAGGGAGCGAGGCCGCAGCAGCAGGGGCGGCGGGCGCTCGGACCCCGGCTGCCCCGCCGCGCCCCGCCCCGGCATGGCAGCCCCAGTGGGCCGTCGGGGCTCAGGTGAGGGCGCGCGCGGCCCCCCCGGGACCCCGAACACGGGCGGGTGGCGAGCTCCCCCGACCTGGGGCGGCGGAGCTCCCGGTTTCCTTTGCCTAAACTCCAGTGTTGCCCTCTCGGTGGAGATTAGGACATGGCTCCTAGACCCTGGGCGGCCGGTGGGCGCCCGCTCCTCCGTCTCTGGAGTGGCGGGACTCTTGTGTGCTCTCTCCGGACCCAGGTTCTGCTCAGAGTTCCTAAACTCGGGCAGCGGATGGGCCGCCAGCTTCTCCAGCTCCGGCCCGGGAGGTTCCCGGGGTTTGCGTTCTGAGCGTAGTTCCGATTGCTGGCTTTGCTGAACACAGCGGGCACCAGCTTCTCCAACCCTCACGTGAAACTCCCAGGATTCCTTTCCCCGATTCTTGAGGCCGTGCTCAGCTTCTATAAACTCAGATGGGGGTCTGGGGAGATTACCTCCTTGAACCGAGGCGCCGATCTCGATCTCATGGAGTGGGAGCTCAGCTTTCTTGAACTCAGGCGGTGGATACCCAGCTTCCGGTCTCTTCGGCCTCTGCTTCTCATGGGGGAGCCTGGGGGTAGACTCTTCGTGTTGGTCTTCCCTTCTTGAGCTAGCTGGAGATACCTGAAAGCTGTCCCTGCTGGTAGGATCTGGGATGGGTTAACTGAGATCCCAGTTAGTGAGACGGACCTGCTTGCTCTCTGGCTTCCCATCCAACTATCTTGTAAACAAGCACAACAGCATCCAAGCTCCAAAGGGACTGGCCAGGAGCTGGCCCTCCCTGCAGGACAGGTTCTGACAGTGCTCCTATTTGTCCTGGCAGCTGTGTCAGGCAGGCGCCCGCCAGGTCCTGGAAAGAAGCAGGGTTGCTCGGGTCAGGGTGGTGGGGGTGTGTCAGGGACGCTCCTGGGCTGCTGTGACCAGCTGTGACCCCAGTGGTTAATGAAACCTTGGACTTTTCTCTTGGGTTGTTCAGAAATGAAAAGGATAAGCAGTGCTTAGAGTGACTCTGTTTGCTGAAGAATTACCAGGACTTGGGGGGTGAACTGAGCCTTCTGTCTGCTTTATCTCACTACAGTCAGAGAACACCTTTCAGAGTTTCAATCTCAGGGTAGACTTTTAAGATTTGATTTTATTTTATAGATTTTATTTATTTATTTGACAGAGACACAGCCAAAGAGGGAACCCAAGCAGGGGGAGTGGGAGAGGGAGAAGCAGGCCTCCTGCTAAGCAGGGAGCCCAATGTGGGGCTTGATCCTAGGACCCTGGGATCATGACATGAGCCAAAGGCAGACTTTTAATGACTGAGCCACCCAGGCACCCCTTAAGATTTTATCTTTAAGTGATCTCTACACCCACCGTGGGGCTCGAGATCGAGAGTCGAATGCCTGTCGCTCTGAACCAGTCAGGCACCTGCCCCTGGCAGACGTTTTTTGTTCCCACTTTTCTCTTTCTTTCTTTCTTTCTTTCTTTCTTTCTTTCTTTCTTTCTTTCTTTCAAGACTTTATTTATTTATTTGACAGAGAGAGACGTCACAAGTAGGCAGAGAGGCAGGCAGAGAGAGGGGGAAGCAGGCTCCCTGCTGAGCAGAGAGCCCTATTCGGGACTCAATCCTAGGACTCCGGGATTACGACCAGAGCTGAAGGCAGAGGCTTAACCCACTGAGCCACCCAGGCGCCCCTGTTTCCACTTTTCAAATGAGAAGATGGAGGCTTTGAAAGATAACCAGGAATCTGCCAACTAGGAAGTGGCAGGTCTGGGATTTGGTTCGAGAGCTGTGAGAGTTCCAGAAGCTGGTGCCCTTCGTGAAGATGCTATATTAGCTGGTGAGCTAGCAGACAGGCAGTGTGGTAATAGCACCCATTGGTGTGCAGTGAGTTTTTAGCAAATGTGTTCTGTTATTGTTACTGTTGTCATTCTCCCCTTCTCTGGGCCTGTGGCTTGTGAGAGTGTCAGCTGGTTGGGCCAGGTCATGATGAGTGGAAAAGTCCTTCTTTGGGTGTTTGACCAGAAAAAACTGGAATGTGGCTGATCTCCATGCTCATGCCTGGAGGCTGGAGTTGGGAAGAGCCAGTGGAAGCAATTTCTTTTCTTCCCACAAATCCACAACTGGAACAATGATAGAATGTTCCAACATTCTTACCACAAGCCAGCCCCTGTGTTAAATGTCTTGTCAGTGTTCAGTGCTCAGCTTCCCAGTGAGAGGTGTTATAGCCCCATTCTGCAGATGAGAAGGCCGAGGCTCAGAGGCAGAGGTCCCTGCCCGAACCAGTGATAAGCAGGGTCAGGAATCAGCTCAGGCCCTCTTGAGCCCCAAATCCGAATTTATAATGTGAGCAGGACTGCTTACATCTATCCACAAAATGTTGCAGATCTCCTGGGTTTTCTGAGATCTCTCCAAGGTCTTTGGCTGGCACGGTGGGACCTCTTTGCCCTGTTGGCGGGTGAGCCTGCCTGGGCCTGGTCCCCACCACCATCCCGCATTCCCACAGAGACCGAGCGGCTACTGAGCCCCAGTCCTGGGTATGGCACCCGGGCTGGGGCTTCCCCCAGCCCTCCGGAAGAGGAGGACCTCCGCCGCCGGCTCAAGTACTTCTTCATGAGTCCCTGTGACAAATTTCGGGCCAAAGGCCGCAAGCCCTTCAAGCTCATGCTGCAAGTCGTGAAGATATTGGTGGTCACCGTGCAGGTGAGCCCGGCAGGGGCCCCAGCAGAACACCACCTGCGGCCGGTGCTGCTCCTAAGGGAGAGTCCTGGCGTCCAAGCCTGGCCCTGACTCCGCAGTAATGGGGTGATCAGTAGGAAGCCCTCTAAGATCGTGCTGGGGACAGCTCTTTGTAACCTCTGTTAATGCTCTCTGAGGTCCTGGCAATTGCTGTTGCTATCATTTTATATGTGAGCCAGCAGAAGCTCAGAGAGGTTAAGGGATGTGTCCAAAGTCACACAGCCACCAAGCATGGGGAGCTTGCACTGGAACCCAGACAGTCTGATGCCATGTTGACTCAGTGGCTGAGCAGGTAGTTGCTGCCCCCCATCCCAGGTCCTGTGGTGGGTTTTGGAGACCCCACGATGAATCAGACCCAGCCCCTGCCCTAAGGAGCCTCTGGTCCGGTGCTGTGATTCAGGGTATGTTAAGATACTTCTGATTTCCTCTCCGTAAGAGAGCACAACACTGGTACTCACCCTGTACGTTTGGGTTCAGCACAGAACCTGGCCCCTGGTAAACATCCAGGGAGCATAGGCCTCTGTCGTCATGAGATACCTGAGCACCCGCTCTCTGCTGCTCATGGTGGGCATTCCTCGTGGCCAGCCTTGTCAGTTCCCACTCCCCCCACTAGCTCATCCTGTTTGGGCTCAGCAACCAGCTGGCAGTGACGTTCCGGGAGGAGAACACCATTGCCTTCCGCCACCTCTTCCTGCTGGGCTACTCGGATGGGGCGGACGACACTTTCGCGGCCTACACGCGGGAGCAGCTCTACCAGGCCATCTTCCACGCTGTGGACCAGGTGCGGGCAACCGGGGGCAGGTGGGCGGGCTGGCAGGGGAGAGTGGGCAGGGCTGACAGACCTGCCCTTTCTCTGCCCACAGTACCTCCTGCTCCCTGATGTGTCGCTTGGCCGGTATGCCTATGTGCGAGGCGGGGGTGGCCCCTGGGCCAACGGCTCGGCCCTGGCCCTCTGCCAGCAGTACTACCACCGAGGCCACGTGGACCCAGCCAATGACACCTTTGACATCGATCCCATGGTTGTCACTGGTGAGTAGGCAGGCCAGGGCACCACTGTTGGTAGTACCAGCTGCTGGAATTAAAATTCCACTGGAAGATGAGGTTGTCCTGATCATTAATAATTTGATGTTTGCAGCATCTTTGGTAGAATGCTTGGTGTGCAGAAAAGTGCAAGTGTTATGTTCTAACATCGTTTGTTCACTGAGCATTTGGGGGCCCACTGGGTGTCAGGCCCTAGGGCCTGTGTAGGGAGTGAGACAAACTGGGCCCGCTCCAGGGAGACCGTGGGGAACAAAGGACAAATGTTAAGTTCACAGCGGGAAGTGAAGGAGGGAAGGGGGCTGCCGGGGACTGTGGGGAGACCTGCCTGTGCCTCTCCCGCCCCCAGTGTCCCTTCCCTGACTCCCTGTCCTCAGACTGCATCCGGGTGGACCCCCCCGAAAGACCCCTTGTGCCCCCCAGTGATGATCTCTCCCTCTCGGATGGCAGCGCCAGTTACAAGAACCTCACGCTCAAATTTCACAAGTACTGCCTGATGGAGGGGGGCCTCCAGGGCTGGGCCGAGGGTTGGGGGCGGGCAGGATGCCAGGCATCCTTGGCCGCCCCACCACGGGTGGGGACAGAGGAAAACCATGCTGATGCCTCCATGTGAGCATTTCCTCTTTGAGCTGCAGAGTCAGCGTGGGGCAGCAGCGCTGCTGGTGGGGTGGGGGCAGAGGGCAGGGGTGGCAGGAGGGACCGGCAGAGCCCCCTTCCTCACCGAAGCCTCCCTCCCAGGCTGATCAACGTCACCATCCACTTCCAGCTGAAAACCATCAACCTCCAGAGCCTGATCAACAATGAAATTCCCGACTGCTACACCTTCAGCGTCCTGGTAAGCCCAGTGTCCGGGACAAGGGTGGCAGGCCCGCCAGTGAGAGGGGTTGCCCACAGGACCCCTGAGCTCCGGGGCTGGGGACCCTTGGCCAGGGGCGATTTGGAGGGTAATAAGGGATTTGGGGCCGGATGGACCATCCATCATGCGGGCCTGGGAGCCTAGGTCCGCCAAGGTTTACTTTGGCTCCTCCTGCCCCGCCACACCCCTGCAGATCACTTTTGACAATAAGGCGCACAGTGGGCGTATCCCCATCAGCCTGGAGACACAGGCCCACATCCAGGAGTGTAAGCATCCCAGCGTCTTCAGGCATGGTGAGCCCCCAACCCCCAGACGCATGTTAGCAGGGCCCCTGAGCTGCCCCGGGGATTCCCCCAAGCCCCAGACCAGCACGGACCCAGTTCCTGACTCCCCCAGGTAACCCGTTAGCCCGTGGAGTAGCCACAACCAGTCCTACAGACCCCTAGGCCTGGCCGGGCCCCATCCCCAGTCTCCCAAGGCCTCAGGCCATGCCCCGATCCTACCCAAGTCCTCCCCCCACAGGAGACAACAGCTTCCGGCTCCTGTTTGACGTGGTCGTGATTCTCACCTGCTCCTTCTCCTTCCTGCTGTGCGCCCGCTCGCTGCTCCGTGGCTTTCTGCTGCAGAACGTGAGTGCTGCCTCCAGGGTCACACATGTGTGCCTGAGCTAGCCTCGCCCAGCTCGGGGGCCCATGAGGGCCAGGGGAGAGAGGGTCCCTCGTGGGGCCCGGCCGGCCCTCACCCCACCTGCCTCCTTGCAGGAGTTTGTTGGGTTCATGTGGCGGCGGCGGGGACGGGTCATCAGCCTCTGGGATCGGCTGGAATTTGTCAACGGCTGGTACATCCTGCTGGTCACCAGCGATGTGCTCACCATCTCGGGCACCATCATGAAGATCGGCATAGAAGCCAAGGTGGGTCCTGGTCCCTTATACCGCCTTCTCCACCCCTCCCGCACCTGTCTGGGGCCATAGCCCACAGGACGGGCCAAGCCAGGTGGGGGTGACATTGCTTCTGCCCCTAGAACCTGGCGAGCTACGACGTCTGCAGCATTCTCCTGGGCACCTCCACGCTGCTCGTCTGGGTCGGCGTCATCCGCTATCTGACCTTCTTCCATAAGTACAACGTAAGCTTCGTATGTGCAGGCTGGACCCTCCGGGCGGTGGCCACGTGCTCCCCAAGTCTCACTGTCCTCCCCTGGGTAGATTCATACACCTGTGGCCATCACCAGCCTCTACAGATGGCCTGTCATGAGCCTCTTGCCCACACCGGCCCACCCAGACATACCTGTCCCTACAGCCAAAGCAGAACCATGGGCACTGCCCCCAGCTGAGTCCAGCGGAGTGGGGGTGGGGAATGGTCAGGCCCTGCCTGCTCCCCCCTCCCCATTCACAAGGCCAGTAGACGTTGTGGCCACACCCACATGGGCCCCTCCCCCCCACCTGCCTACCACAGATTCTCATTGCCACACTGCGGGTGGCCCTGCCCAGTGTCATGCGTTTCTGCTGCTGTGTGGCTGTCATCTACTTGGGCTATTGCTTCTGTGGCTGGATCGTGTTGGGGCCCTACCATGTGAAGGTAGGGGCTGTTCGGGGCGTGGTGCTCATGACCCACAGTCAACGCGTTCCCGTCTCCCCTCTCTCCACGCCCACCGCTGAACCCTCTGAGCCCTGGTCTAACACTGAACCGTCCACCTGGACCCCTGGTCCCTTACCAGGAGGTGTCCGGCATTTCTGCCCGTTGTTCCCTCTGACCCCCGCCCCTTGTCCCCACCCCATCCCCAGCCCCCAGTTGCACCCACGGTCCTTCTGACCCCACAACCGCACTGCCCTGCTGGCAGTTTCGCTCGCTGTCCATGGTGTCGGAGTGCCTGTTCTCGCTCATCAACGGGGACGACATGTTCGTGACGTTTGCCGCGATGCAGGCGCAGCAGGGCCGCAGCAGCCTCGTCTGGCTCTTCTCCCAGCTCTACCTCTACTCCTTCATCAGCCTCTTCATCTACATGGTGCTTAGCCTCTTCATCGCGCTCATCACGGGCGCCTACGACACCATCAAGGTCAGCGCCGGCCCGCATGCCCCCCCCCACCTGTCTCCATGGGGGGCCAAGCCTCACGGATATACAGCCCTGAACCTTGGGCTCCGGGTCCCTTGGAGTTGGCCCCGGCAGGATCTCAGGGGGCATGAGGCAGGGTGAGGAGGGAAAGAAAGACCCGGGGAGAGAAGATGGGAGACTGAAAAGCGGAAGGGGGGAGCGGGGCATGCTGACCACAGCTGCCACATTCTCAGTGTTATCAAGGTGGGGCTGTGGCCAGGTCAGGTTCCCTTGTCTTTTACCGACGGGGAAACCAGGGTGTACCGTTTTAGTGACTTGCCTGAGGTCAGTTGCTAAGTGGTAGAGCCAGGCTCAACCCAGGACTGTGTGATTCCGGAATCCCGAATCCTATACACGTCCTATACGGTGGCCTGGGTGGGAGCTCTTTGGGTCCAGGGAATGGTGGTGGCCCCGCACGGTGCGGGGGTCAGAGGAGAGAGGGGTTGTAGTAGAATGTGAGGGTGGCAGGTACACACGATTCTTTAGCAAATGTGTGTTTGAGGGCCCTGTGCTGGGTATCTGGGAAATGCGGTATATACGGACGATGCCAGACCAGTAGGCAAGATGGGTGATCTGTGAACAGAAGTGTGATGACCAATTCGTGAGAGGGATGAAGGTTACAGAGGGATCCCCTGCTTTAGACTGGTATTGGGGTGAGTCCAGGAAAGTCTAGAATGTGCCAGTACTGGTCCTAGCCACATGTGACTGTTAAAATATTGACTTGAAGTGAAACACAATTCCATATTCAGTTTTTCCTCACACCATTCACCTGTCAAGTGCGCAAAGGTTAATACAGCTAGTGACTACCAGATCAGATGCACAGATAGCAAACTCTCCTGTATCAGAAACTTCTAGATTGAGAGTCCAGGAGAGAGCACGAGGGAGAAGAAACAGCCAAAGGCCCAGTAGCCAGAAAGGACTTGGGGATGAGATGATGGCTTCTCTACAGGTTGGGAGGGGTGCAGGCTCTGCTGAAAGCCAGGGTTCTGCTGGGGAGGCAGACAGGCACCCCCCAAGCCTGGATACAGTCATCCCACAGATACACTTCTGTCACTCGGGCCCAAGGAGTCTTGGGTCTTGCTCTAGCACCTAAACATCACACGTATGTATCAGCCTTGGATATACAGGCCCAGACCTTGTTCCTGCCATGTGTGCCCACTCAGTAGATGTTCCCTTGCAGGCCCCCAGCTTGTGTCAGGTATGGCTCTGGGTGCTGAAGCAGAAGCAGAGGGCTGCTGACCAGCTGACCAAGATGCGGGATGTGCACATTTTGGGGGCCAGGGAATGTCTCCCCGGGAAGCAAACCCGGAGGAATGACAGGTGGAGGTGACCTCGCGTGCTTAGGTGTGGTGGGGGTGGGGGAACTTGGTTGGTGGCGAGTCACAGGGAGGAGATCCCGGTGGCTAGCTGGCTGGCGAGGAGGTGGGGCAGGAGAGAGAGCAGACCTCAAAGAGGCCACCCCGCATTTGTTCCCCAGCACCCTGGCGGTGCTGGCGCAGAGGAGAGCGAGCTCCAGGCCTACATCGCGCAGTGCCAGGACAGCCCCACCTCCGGCAAGTTCCGCCGAGGGAGCGGCTCCGCCTGCAGTCTCCTCTGCTGCTGTGGCAGGTGCGAGCTGGGGATTGGGGTCCGGGGACCAGGAGCCTGCCAGAGGGAACTGGTTCCTTCCGCCCCGGCTGGCAGGCTGACACGGCCTCTCCCCCAGGGACGCCTCGGAGGAGCATTCGCTGCTGGTGAACTGAGTCGGAGCCGCCACTGCTACTGGACACTAGCCCTCCGACTGCGGAGACTCACGCTTATTTATTTGTAGGGTTTGCTTTTAAGGACCGGTTCCCTCCCGCGCCCTGAGGACCTGGGCCAGTCGGGTCGGACGCGGGTGGGGACGGGCGGGGTGGGTGTTAAATAAACGGGAAAATAAATGTGTCTTCATTTATAGCGGGAGGGGCGTTCCCCGCGCTGGTCGGTTTCGGCCCCTTTAAGGCGTCGTCAAACAGCGTGGCGGACTGCGCGAGACCTTACAAACATGGTGGGGGGCGGGGCCGCGGCGCGCCCTGCGGGGAATAATTTAAAGGGACCGCGCCTGCGGGCTGGGCGGAAAGCTACCGGTGTTGGCGCAGAGTGGACCGCGGCTGCGGCCGGGTGGGTGAGTCCGGGTTTTTGTCGCCCCCTCAGAGGCGTCCCTTAGGGGGTCTTTAGCACCTTTTCTCCTCCGCTGGCCAATAGCGCCGGACTCTCTGATGCTCCCATCCCCCCAGTTCCCGGCAGGTGTTTCCGCGCTGGGAGCCAGGTGCGCGCTAGGGTGGAAGAGAACTAGTCCTCCCCATGAGTTTTCCAGGTACTATCTCCAGGGCCCAGTGACGCCCCCAAATTTCCGTTAGTACTCTAGCGGTGCCAGAAATATTCTCAGTTTTCCAGAGAAGTCCCAGTAATATTCCGGCATTTATTCCTAGGTCGACTCTTTTGCTCAAACGACCTCAGGGACGTGCCCACCCAGCTCCCAGTTTTCCCAGCAGTAGTTCTCTATTCCTGAGACTCCCTCAGTAACTTTACAGTGACTCCCAGTAATTCCCGCGTCCCTGGTTACGTCTCCCAGTAATGGCCCTAGCATCGTTCCCAGAGTTCTAGAGATGTTCACACCGTCAGAGACCCCATAACTGCACTAATGAGTAACGGTGAATCTAGCATCGCCTAGTAACCTCTCGGGAGCTCGCCCCACTCCGGGGGTATTTTTCCGAGACCCCCGCATCGCCCCAGGACCCCTTACGTGGGAGTTGCCAGCAGCACTCCCGTGCACCCCGGCCCGTAGGTCCACTGGCCTGGGGTACCCTGTTTTTTGCAGGGGATTGTGGCTTAAGGTCTGCTGGGTCAGGATTGATCAATCCCGGAGGGCAGACAAGGTGGGGGCCACTTGCGGGAGGAAGGCGGGTCCTTCGGGGACCCGTGCACAGGTTGCTGACTGTGGGTATCCGGCCGGCTGCCCTTTGGCCCCAGGGTGGGGCTGTATCCGTATAGGGCGTCTAGTCGGCCCGCGTGTGGGTGAAGGGAGCCAGGGACTCGCCTTACGCCCCAGCCCGGCGTCGAAGTCAACCTGTATCACCCCCTCTGCTCTACAGCGCCCCACCAGCCGTCCCCTGACCAGCAAAGCCATCCGGGCGGCGAGTATGAAGAGGGCAAGCCTCGTGGTAGGGGTAAGGGGAGAAGCGGGCCAAGAGTGACGACTTGCACCAGTTCCTCCTGCTTCTTATTCCCCAGGACTCCGGGCTACCAGACCTGTCGCCCAGTCTGAAGCAAGTGATGGAGGCTCCGTTGCAAACAGGAATGGTAAACGTTGGGTTGTGTGGCGCTGCGGGGACTGCAATTCCCGAAATGCTTAGCGCTCATGTTGCGGTCTCGCGGTAATTTCAGACCTACGTTTCCCGGCATGCACCGCGGCCCGCGGAGCCGCCGGAAAGAGTTGCGCCCCCGGGGAGGTAGCGGCGGCTACCCATTCTGCAGATGGGGACGCCGAGGCAGGGGCCGACTGTGACCTCCTCGGGGGCGGAGGACTTGACCGAACTGGGTGGAGACGGGGGCGTCCCGGCCTCCGGGGAGGGCTCGGCAGTTCGCGTATGCGATGCGCAGCCAGTGCCCTTCGTCCCGCAGGTGCTGGGCGTGATGATTGGGGCCGGAGTCGCGGTGCTGGTCACAGCCGTGCTCATCCTCCTGCTGGTGCGGAGGCTGCGAGTGCCGAGTGAGAACCCGGAGGGCCCTTCCAGGGGGGAGCTGCGGGAACTGAAATGCCCGGATTCCTGAGGCAGTAGAGATGGGACTTACGGGACAGTGTCTTCATCTCTGGCCGCGTGGAGTAGGCGCAGAGCTCAGGGTGCTTCTCTACTTATTATCCCCAGAAACGCCAGCACCGGACGGCCCCCGGTATCGATTTCGGAAGAGGGACAAAGTGCTCTTCTATGGTCGGAAGATTATGCGGAAGGTGAGTCTAGGACCCCCGGGGGTCCCCGCTGAACACAGAGGTTCTGCCCTTTTTCTTTTTACACGTCTTAGGAAGCCGGTCCTCCATGACTAGCGTCCTCTGGATCTGGGCCCTTCTTCCCTCGATCTGAACTGGCAGTTCACCCGTCCCCCATCCTTACCCTTCCTAGGTATCACAATCTACTTCCTCTCTGGTGGATGCTTCTGTCTCCACCACCTCCCGGCCACGCATGAAGAAGAAACTTAAGATGCTCAACATCGCCAAAAAGTAAGGCTGTACTGGGTGTACTGGGCACGGGGGGCTCTCTCATGGACCTTTTGAGTAATCAGCCCGCACCAAAAGAGTGTTGATCTAAGTGTTCTTTGAGCTGGGAGTCTTCCCACATCAGAGGGGCTATCTCCGAGCTCTCCCCCACGGGACAGGCAGGCTCTGGTGTCTCTGTGCCCTGAGACAATGTATCGCAGCGACGTTTCCCCTGCAGCACGGTGTCTGTGAGCCAGTTGTCTCCAGCCAGTATCTTAGACGCTTTGTAATAGGTTTAGGGGATCTGCGCCTGGGTTCTCCATGTAGGATAGTTCCTGGGTCTCCCCACACAGGAGGTGATTCACTGGGGTTAACTCAGGTGTGTCTGTGACCTACTGGAAGGGCTCTCTCTAGCTTTTGTTTTCTAGGGTTTCTCTCAGCAGTCTCTCTACGTCAGAAAGCATCTCTCTATGTCATCTCCCCTGGAGTTCTTCCTACACTAAGGAGGCTGTCTTAGGCGTTTCTGTTTCCCAGGAGTTATTTCAAGGATCTTCTTGCTCTAAGAAGCATAGGAAGGACATCTCAGGGCTCCATGCCATCAGCAAAGGGCTATCTTAGAGTCTCTGAGAAAGGCTCTCCCAGGGAGCTTTCTAAGTTGGAAGCTGGCTCTGAGGTCGGTCTCCTCACATCATGGCATATCCTTGAAGGTCTGTCTCCAGGGTGTCTTCATGCTAAGGGATATCCCACTGAGGGTGTCATCCCAGGGCTGTCCATGAGCAGCCGATGTGTCCTCACGTGGCTTTTTGTGATTCCAGTAGAAGGGCTGGCTCTAGACCCTCGGTGATCAGTTGAGGATTTAGATCTTGTGTCTTTGTATGTCATAGGGGTTGTCTTAATGTGTCCCTGCTCTGGAGGAGCTACACTGGTGTTGTCATGACTTTCAGGGGGCTATCTCAGCTCTCTGTGAACTGGGCAAGGGCCAGCCCAAGATCTCTCTGATCAGAAGAGGAGCTATATCTAGATTTCTTTATATTGTGGAATTTAATTTAGGTGTCTGTGTATTTTACATCAGGGCTCTGCCAAACACAGGGTTTATCTCAGGAGCTTACGATAACAAACAAGCGATCTCAGGGTTTTACATTAGAAGATGGTAAGTTTTATTGTAAGGGGTCAGGTTAGTAAACATCTTAGGCTTGGCAGGTCATGTGACTATGTCACAATTTTTGAACTTTTTGCTGAGTAAAAGTAGCCATAAGTAACATGTAAATGATTCTGTGCCAACAAAGCTTTGTTTAATGAAAGTAGGTAGCAGGCCAGAGTTGGCTGAGTCCTGTTTTTTGTGATTTAGAGGAAAGAGAGTGGAAGACTCAGGTCTGCCTGAGCCTGTTCCCTACCTGCCCCCTGCGACCCCTCTCTTCCCGCCAGGATCCTTCGTATCCAGAAAGAGGCACCAACACTGCAACGAAAGGAGCCCCCGCCGGCGGTGCTCGAGGCTGACTTGACGGAGGGTGACCTGGCTAACTCCCACCTGCCCTCCGAGGTGCTCTACATGCTCAAGAATGTCCGGTCAGTGTCGGGGTGCAGGCGGAGGCGGGTGGCTGCTGAGCTGGGGGCTCACTGAACCTGCATTCCTCCCCGTCCCTGTCCCATCCAACAGGGTGCTGGGCCACTTCGAGAAGCCGCTCTTCCTGGAGCTCTGCCGACACATGGTCTTCCAGCGGCTCAGTCAGGGGGATTACGTCTTCCGGCCGGGCCAGCCGGATGCCAGTATCTACGTGGTGCAGGACGGGCTGCTGGAGCTCTGTCTCCCGGGGCCGGTGAGTGGACCACCTGTGGGGCACCACGGGGAGATGGGCAGTGGGGACTGGGATAGGCGTTGCTGTTGGGCAGCGGGCTTCGAAGTCTTTGGAGACATGCAGGCAGAAATTGGGAACGAACGCACAAGGGTGTCGGGGTGGTCTACACGGTCAGTGGTTACAGTTAACGATGGCCAGAAAATAGAAGCCGGTCAGATATTTGGTGGGTTCGGGGATCGGGGTGTCAGTGATCACTGGGTGGTGAGTTGAGAGCTCAGGGGTGGAGTGCCAGTTGGCAAGGTGGGGACAGCCCCAGTCAGCTCCCCCCCACACACCCTCTGTGTCTCAGGATGGGAAGGAGTGTGTGGTGAAGGAAGTGGTCCCTGGGGACAGCGTCAACAGCCTTCTGAGCATCCTGGATGTCATCACTGTGAGTGATTAGTCTTGGGGGACAAGGAGACTGGGTATGAGGACCCAGTCAGTGGGTTGGTTCGGAGAGGGTCACGTGGGAGGCCTCGGTGTCCCAGAGTCCCCTCCGACGCTCCCAGTGGTCTCACAAGGCACTGGCCTTGGGAAGGACTCGGAGAGCAGAGCCCCTGATCTCCCTTCTCCTTGTTCCACGCACACCCACAGGGCCACCAGCACCCCCAGCGGACTGTGTCTGCCCGGGCAGCCCGAGACTCCACAGTGCTGCGGCTGCCCGTGGAGGCCTTCTCTGCCGTGTTCACCAAGTACCCCGAGAGTTTGGTGCGGGTGGTGCAGGTCAGTGGGCCTTCCGCCTCCCTCCGCCTGCCCCGGCCCGTCCCAGGCTCCTGCGGGCTGCGCTTATCAGCCCTGAGCAGTCAGGTCTTTGGGGGCCCCTGTTCCCTCTCTTTAGCTGCCTCCGCCCCCTTCTCCCCAGGCTTCTGCCACCCGATTGTGGGTTTCTCCCT